ACTTTTTTCATTTCTTTCCTAATTTAGAGCTTCATCTTCACGTGTGTGTGTATTTTTTTTTCATTGTAAACAACAAGGCAAAAAGAGGGATGCTATTTATGAAGCAAAATTAAAAAGCTGGCAACTGTCCATCTATCGTTGAGTAATTGAGTTATAAAATGAAGACAAAGAAAGAAGGCAATAACCCTGTGGGTATATATCTTATTTTAAGGGAGAAACTCTGTCCTCAGTTACTAATTCACCGTGTCAAGGCAAAAAATTGTATACATATTCATAAAACCAATGGAAAATTTCCTTGGTTCCCCAAAGTGTAGAAGCCAAAAAGCAGAGTTCGTGGTATGCTTTTGGTGTTTTGGTGTGCAGCCAACATTTGTATTTTTGCTTGAGTTATGATCTAGTCTCATTAAGCCTGTGAAGTTAGTTCTCCACATAACTCTGTTACGACAACTTAAACTTAATTTTTTTTTTTCAAACGAAGAAGAGTTTAATTGTATGACTCATGGAGGCTTTTCAGTCAAATTAAAGTTTTGCTGCTGACAGTGCTCTGTTGGTTATTATAATAACAACCTCAATGTTATGATCAGGTTTATGATTTTTCTACTCCTGTGTTACCTTTCAGGAAGATCTACAAATGAACAAAATTTATATTTTGACTGTGTTAATGCAGAGAGATTTTCTTTGAATAAGCACTTTCTCTACCAACAAATGAGAATGCATTTAACTGCTTAAAACACATCTTAGTTTTTGAATACCAAAGAGATGCAAAAAAGAAGCCAACTGTAAAATATCATACTTCATAAGCCGAGATGATCAGCTGGAGAATGTTTCCAGAGTCCTTGTGAAGCAGTCCTACTGTAGCTCCAGGGATAAGTTTTGCATAGTTCTGTAAACAAAAAAAGAGTAAGTCAGTCTTTATTTGCTGATGGTAATTGAGAACAGTAACTGAGAAATCTTTAAGTGTGGGGTTCAGCCTGCTATCTCTGATCACCTCTTTTTAACTGGCTGGAGAAAACAAACTCCAGATAATAAATGGGTATTCCTCCTGAAACTTAGCCCCTAAGTGGAGCTCAAGAGGGAAATGGATTGGCCAGAGTAGCCACTGGGGAAATCTTTGGTCTGTGGTTGCTTTAATCTGGGGCTGCGATTTATATCACGGTGCGAGTTGAGTCTCAAAGAATAAGAACATCTATATAATATCTTCCTTTTGTGGAGCATCCTTTGTCCAAAAAGTTCTGAGCATACACTTGGCAATTTTCTTCACTTTTTGCAATGTTGCAGAAACCAGTGTTTGGCACACATGGGCAGTGAGAGAATCAGGTCGCTCTGTGAGTCATTCGGTTTAGGGGTCTTAATGAGCAATTGCTTGGTGGAGAAAGGGTATGAATTGCTTGTTGTTAACTCTCCCTTTCCTGTGGGCAAGGAACACTCTTTTAGAGATGTCAGCACTGTGCTGAGGTTGGCTGGAATTGTTCCCCACACATCACGGGGATGTCAGTGAGTCAGAACCCAGTTCTAAATGGTCTGCATTCTCCACCTACATTGTCTCTCGTGAAATGTGCTTCCACCCAAAGAGAACCCAAAATATCAGTTCATCAATGCTCTAGTTATTGAGCATGGCTAGGGAATGAGGAATTGCAAAGAAGGGAATTTTCTAGACAGCTAAAATGTAACCCTCCCTTA